AATCTTAAGTGTACAGTGTATGTCACGCTCAGTTAACCAACACTCATTATTATACAGAATATTCCCCCTCTCCCTTAATAGTCCTAAAGGTAACCACTACTCTGTTTTATCACCATACATTTGTTTCCTTTGTCCTTAAAATTTCATATTAATTGGAATCATACAGCGTATACTCATTTGTTTCTTCTTTTTTTTCAATAGTAAATCAGGAAGGTCCATCTGTGTAGTTGTAAGTAGCAGTCATTCATTCCTTTCTTTTGCTCTATGGTGGGAATGGTTGTGTTTATATGTAACAATTCACATATTTGACCAAAATAATGCCCAATTCAACATTGAGATTTTCTGTCATCCTGAACTCCATGTTCTAGTTCAGGCTTTCTGGACTCTATGCTTACAAATCAAGAGAATAAAAGTTTGCTTTGCTTCACATATTTCTCCCAGGCTCTGTGACCTCTATTCAAGTCAAAGAGAATCAACAGTTCCTGTGCCCAGACTGTTGGCAGCATAACAAATCACAGATCCGGAAACCATTAAGAAAATGACTGAAAATTTATTTTGGATTTTTAAGTCAAAGGTGAAATGGTCTTGCATACCCTTTGAATTATAATACTGAATAATCTCTATGTGGATCAATCAGTATTTATAAAGTGCTAATAAAAGGATCCAGACCCAAAGGGAAAGGGTTAAGAAGTTGTTCCAACAGAAGAGGGTGTCAGGGCCAGAAGTTTCACCTGCCCTCTCACCAATGTGTCCCAGACCCAACATTCTACTGTTACATATGATAAACGACTCTTCCATGTAAAAATATTAGAAAACTATGGGAATAATATGACTGTCATAAAAATGTTAAAAATGTTTACAAACATCAATACCCATACATCATTAAAATATAAAAAGAAAACTAAAAAATAGAAATAGAAGGAAGTCAAGTAGCTATAGCTTCAGTATCATACTTAATGGTAAACTATCAGAATAATACATAGAATATGAAACTATTTGTATGAGGTTTAAAAACATTTAAATCATTACTAAGTATTACTTATAAATGCAGACAAATATAGTAAATGTATAATTTTATGTATGAAGTCATATATCACTTAAAAGTCAGGAAGGACATAAAGATGCCTGCTAACATCATTTCAACAAAACATTATATTATAGAAACTTATCACCATGGTAGGACAAAAAAAACAGTAATAAATACAAGGACAGAAAGGTTAAAAAAAGTATTTGTATATCCTATTCTTGACTATAGAGAGAGTTTGAGAAAATTTATAAACAAATTATTTAGAAGTAATAAGACTATCATTTACAGTACACTGGCAAAATGTATACCTTTACATCAGCCACAACAATAAAAACAATGAAAGAAAACATAATTTTAAAACAGATTCCATTAGTAAGAAAAAGACTGAATACAATGCTCCTTAGAGAAAACTAAAAAAAAATATTAAGATTTTATGTAGGAAGTTTTTTAATTGAAAGATATGAGAAGTATCTATATAAATGGAGAGATACACCATGTTCATGGGAAAGAGAATTCAATATCATAAAGATGTCAGATGTCTTCTTCCCATTATTCCATAATTTCAATTCAGGTCCACTCAAAATTTCAATATATAACTTTATTATGTAGCATAAAAAGCTGATTATTAAATTCATGTGTAGAAATAAAGGGACAAGACTAGCCAAGATAATTTTGAAAATGCTTTCAAAGATATCAAGATTCACATAAAACAATTATATTTAAGACAGAGGGGTCATGGACAAAGGGAAGGACAGACAGATAACTGGAATAGAATTACATCTCAGAAACAGAAGCAGGCACAGCCATATAGTGTATTAATATGCAATCCAATGAGAAAACAATTGATTTAGAAAAATTATTCTGAAACAATAGGTTATCTGCATGGGAAAAATATGGCTAATAGAAAAAGATTTCTTACACAATACATAAAAAATACAAGCTCTAATAAAAAATTTGATAATATTGACTTCAGCCATCTGTATCACAAAAAGTAAGCATAAAACAGAGAAAAGAAAACCCAGGTAGGACTGGGGAAATATATTTACAGTTTACATATATGTATAAGTGCACATTCTAAAAACAGAATTCTTACAAAAAAAATCTCCAATGAAGACAAACAACCCAGTAGAAAAAGGAGCAAAGTATATGAATAGGCAATTCCCAAGAGAAAAACACGAATGGCCAATAAGCATATGAAAAGTAGTAACTGGGAAAATACAAAATTTTAAAAAGACACTACTCCCACCTAACAGATGGTTAAATTTTTAACTGTTACCAATAGCAACTGTTGAAAAAGATGTGACAATGCTAAAACTTTCATGAACTGCTCAGTGGGTATGTCACTGCTGTGCTGGTGTAGTGCAAGCTCTATAATGAGGAGTTTGGCAGCAGCCCTCAGACGCATCCATGGAATTGCCAGGAAGAAATCCACACACTAAAAGACATGCATGTGAAGATTCATCCTTGGCATTGGTACAAAAAAATTAGAAAGATTCTAAATATCCAGTATCAGACATTTAAATAAGTAAATTGTGGCATGTAACTATGACATTGTTTACAGTATTTAAATGAATGATCTAAAGCTCCACATATCCCCATAGACAAATCTTAATAACATAACTATACATCAAATAAGGGAGTTACAAAAGAATAGAGTACGATATCATTTATAAGAAGTTTCAAGCACATTAAGAAATACTAAATACCATTCAGAAAAACATACAAATACGGTAAAAGCATAAAAGCATGCAAGAAACAATCCGAAACCAAGATAGCAGGGCTTTTTTTTCCGGGGGAAGGACAGGTAAGTGAGTTTGGGAAGATTATAAAGGGAGTTTTCATAGTGATGCAGTCAGTATTCCATGTCTTTAAAATATTTCTAAAGTAAAGGTTAAAATGTGGCAAAGTTAGGTGTTAAGTACACAGAAGTTAATTTTGTGTATTCTTTCTGCTTATTCACTCTGCTCTTCTTAACCTTTAAAGTAGTCTACAATAAAAATTAAGATGTTGAACAAAAAACAATAGTGAGACTTCATGGAATGTAAAAGCATTTATAATACATAAATTAATCAACCAACATCCAACTATGGGATGAAAGCAAATGTTTTTCTGCAGAGCTGGGACCTCCCCATACATGGTATTTGACTAAGTTCCAGGATGAGGTCTCTTTTTCGGTTCTCATTAACTGGAGAGCACTGCTGGCACTGACTGGCAGGGCGGGGAGAGGGGAGCGATAAATGTCTTGCGATGTATTGGTACAATCCAGCACAAAGAAAGATTGTCCCTATATCCCCCATTGAGAGAAACGGTCACTGTAACAGTAGCCTTGGGACATGCCTGACTTGACCACAGTGTGAGCTCAGGGCTCTCACCATGATAAGACGGCCTCTTCCTCAGGATCTTTCCTTTAATAATGTTTTTTCCAGAGCATCCTGTCTCAGAGATTGTTCTAGGACCCAGGAAGAGAAAAGATGCATAATGCTCTGCCCTGCCCCCTATGCTGAGATCCCAGCTCATCCTCCTCGGCCAAGGAGTTGGGATCCATCAAGTAAACCTCAAGAAATCATTATGCCCCACCTGATTCGGCCGCATATAATTAACCAGAGCCTCCGGTGCTATTGGTTGCTCCATAAGTGCCCCCACACATAAATGCATCCCTTTTTGTGGTGTCGCAGAGAACCAGAAAATCAATAATCATGTAACACAACTTTTGTGAGTTACTCTTTAGAAAACTGCAATCTAATTTTGTAAGACAAAAAAATTTCTCTTGTTCTCTTGTATACCAAGTATCCAGGAAAAGGTAGGTGTGTGTGTGTGTGTGTGTGTGTGTGTGTGTGTGTGTGTGTGTGTTATTTGCACTGTGATTCACAAACTAAGTTATTGTAAATCTGGGTCTTTCCCACCTGTGACATGCAGGAGACATAAAAACAGCAGGGAAAACAGTATGTTCCCCGCAACATGGCTGCTCTGCTTCGTTTCTGTAGACTAGAAATGCTAGGCTATTTGCCTCTATCAGATAAAGTGGCTCTGCAGCCCACAATTATAAGATCATACATGGGTTTTCAACAGGAAGTTTGGACTTGATTCGTTCAAGATTAAAGGACACAAGGAAGGTTATATCATTCTGAGCCAATAACTGTACATGTAATGGAGATAGAACAGTATAAAATGTACATACTCTTAGGTACTAATGATAAGTAGAAAAAAGCTTGCATCTTTTAGCTAAATTTGTTTATTGCCTGAAAACTCAGTGTAGTAATTCAAGGCCAAGTGACAGGAAATTGCAGTTTCCTGGCTGACAGCAATTCAATCTGCAGTAATAGTTATGAAACGGAATTTCTAAGCTCTGAAGAGGGAAAAAACACAGTATTTTCAATAACTTGGGGTACAACCCAGATGATATGGCACACATTATATAGATTAAATTATGACGTATGCTTACAAGCATGCAGAACCTTATTATGTAATTTCAATCAAACTTTTGATTTGGTCAGATGCTAAAATTTGGTCTATACATGGTCTCCCATAGGGAGATTGGAAACATAGCTGTTTCTTGCTGCAACAGCAAATAGACAATCATTTAATCTAGGTAATCATAAGTAAAAACACTGAAAATTGGTGGGCTAAGACAAGTTTTTAAAGTTTTTCTGGTTTTCTTCTTGTGGAAGGATTGTTTGCTACATAATTCCTCCTTTTGGAAGGGATTTCTATCCGTGTTCATTCCCTACAAATATGTAAATTGTTATGAGAGTAAATAATTGTCAGTCTTGTTTGAACCACAGTACTGTTTTTGTTACAACAAATTAGCCTTTACCCTTAAACAATACAGAAATCCTGGCCTGATAGAGAACATGATAGACTAGATTGTTCTGAGTAAATATTTTCTCACCTCCCCAGCCCCAGTGAATTGGAACTTACCCATGTGACTTGCTTTGCCCAATGAAAGGAAAGTGGACTAATGCACGCAGGGTTTTTTAACTGGCTTGCCCTCTTGATGGTCCTTCCGGAGGAGGAGAAGAGCACACCTTACGTAGCCATGGAGAAGACCTCATTCTAACCCACAGCATGAGGCCAAGCCCAGCCAAGCCCAGGTGAGGTATAGCTGACCTATTAACCAAGACATCAATGCTTCTTGTTCTAAGCTATTGACGTTGGGAGAAGGCAATAGGGGGAAGTTAGGCCACACTACTGAAGCAATATATAATACAGTGAAGAAAGAATATCTGAGGACATATGTAAGGAAACAATTTGAAATTAGAATTTCTAAAAATGTTTATGTGTAGCTCATCATGGTTTTGAGGCAGGAAAGTTAGAAATGGAACAAAAGCTTCAAGCTCTATCCCTCCCCCTTTCCACTTTGGCTGGATTATGGAAGACTTGACCTTAACTGACTACCTGTTCCCCCTTTCCTCCTCCCCAATTTCCTATAATTGAGATAAAACTGTTCTCAACCAGATTCAACAGCCATACAGACCTAAAAGTGACCAAAAGTGCCATAATATCTTTATAATAAATTTGCACCACCCCCCAATCACCACGACAGTTCTGAGATGAACGAAAAAGAAATTGCTATCTGAAGAGGAGGGACAAAGACCAGCCAGTCCAGCAGTCACCCCACTAATGTCAGAAGCCTAGGAACACCCTACCCCTGCACCAAAGTTTAATAAAAACCATCCACCTAGATCCCATCAGTGCTTCTTGTTCTCCGAGGTCGCCTGCTCTCACTTTTTAAGTACAGCCTATCGCTTAATAAATTTATTGCACTTTGATAAATCTTTCTGTCATACTCGAATTCTTTCTTGTTCCATGACAAGAACCTGGTCCCTAGTATTAGGCTGAGGCCTCCCTTGGCATCCCCGGTGACATACCCACCCCCACATCAGCTTGAGTTAAATTTCCTGTTCTTCAACATAAAAGTGTGAAGTACACAATCTCTAAACATCCCTACAACCTTAAGGTTTTATACATTGCTTCCTAATTCTGCCACTTTCTTAGCCAAGGCCCTTCACTACAGACACTCTGAGTAGAAGTACATTCTCCTTGAGAGATTTTATCAGCTGTCCTTGGTTTTAGATCATCGTAAGTCAAGATTTGTTATCATTTTATAGCCCAATGGTCTTCACTTTACTTTCTGTATATCTAACCTTTGGGCACTCATACAACACAAAATAGAAAATGCTATCTCTTAAATATCATAAACTCTTTATAGAGAATCAGAAGTTTGGCGAGCATATAAAACTGGAAATTTTCTATTACAGGGATCAATGGTATATTTTGAAGAGATATCAAAAAGAGACTAGCACTCAGTGGAGGTCCTCTATGTAGTAAGATTTATAAAAGTTCGGGGAGAAGAGAAGTCCTTTGGGGAACAGTCAGTAGTATTTTGTGTCTGGTACAAACACAGGATATGTTTTTCTTCAGGATTGGGAATACATTGCTTAGTTCTCACCAATAGCAAAAGTGAGGTGACACCTCAGGAAACAGACAGTTAAATACATGTGTGAGTGTGAGTGCCTAACACTCCTTCCCATCTGTGTAGCTGAAAGGGAAACAGTTTGAATTCCTGAGTTACTGTTGAAGAACAGTCACCAGGAGAATGGCTTGACCCACATCAGACAGTGATACAAGTGAGAAACATACCTGGGTTGTGTTAAGCCACTGACCTTGGAATTTCTTTTTTTTAATATAATTTTTAGTTTTTGATTTGAGAGAGAGAGATAAAGACAGCGCTTTGTTGTTCAACCTATTTATGCATTTATTGTGATTCCTGTATACACCCTGACCAGGGATCAAAACCACAACCTTTGTGTATTGGGATGATGCCCTAACTGACATTGAAATTTCTTATCACCACAGGTACCCTGACCAATACAGCAGGATCCCTTGGTCTGGTCCCCCATACTATAGCATGGCCCATCATCTTCTCCACTGAAATGTTGCCATACACATTGAAAACCTTTCTCTTTTGTTTCCACATACATCAATAGAATTTGGTTGAACTGATAATAAAGAAAACAGCACAAACTGTTGTAGGTTTCCATTTATGTATATATACAACATGGCACTGCACAAGAGTATTCAGAAGATATAAGGTATGTTTTATGCAGTTGATCAATTTCTAAATGGACTAGAGTTTTACACTGAGTCCTAATATCATTATGGCAAATTTTTCAGTAACTACTAAATAACATGATTTAATATGCTCATAAATGTTAGGTATCAAGTCATAAAAATGAGACACAAAGATAAACTATTCTATGTTTAAACATTCATAAGTTGAGTATAAATATCTTGAGGAATATGAAATATAGGCAAATGAGATATATTCACATATATTCTAGTAACCCTTCTAGACAATGAGTTACTTATATGACAGTTAAGATTACCATATTTTTAGTTCAGGAGTAAGTTGTCTTAGCACATAGTTTAACAAATGGTTGTAGAAATAAGAAAGGAAAAAGAAAGAGAGGAAAGAAAGAAGATTATATCAACCAACCAAAGAAATTTAATAGTCAATTCTTTTGTGAAGGATTATCCTACATATGTGTTTCTGAAAATCTAACTCTTTGCATAATGTAAAGACATTGAACAAAAGAGATTTTAAGAATGGTGAAATACAGTATTAAAAATACTTGACTCACCAGAAATCTATCCACACTAATGCATAATTTGTACTCATTAATTGGAATTATATTGGATTTAATTTTCTTTAATATTAGTTTTGAAAAGGATTTCAGAGCAAATCAATAGTGTAAGTAGTACTTCAACAACACTAGCTGCTTCAAAGCTCTTCAGCTACATGTAATTTGTTTACAAAGGGATGGATGCAGTAATTACAAATGGCTCTTATTATTTGTCAAAGCAAGTCAGGTATTCCTTCATTCAATGTGCATGCATGGATCACCTACCAAATGCTAAGCATTAACTTTATTTTTAGGGCACAGTGAAATGACATTTTCTCAAATATATTTTAGAGAAAAAAAGACTTCTGAAAATGGCAAGCTAATCCTGATGCCAATTATCTACTTTAGCAAAATGTTGGTAAAATTGTTAGGCTTCAATTTTTATAGCATAATTTAAAGTGAGAAAAGACCATGGGAAAGTAATCAAGAAGAATGATAGCTCTTCAGCTTAGTACTGAAGAAAGAAAAAGACACATAGCCAGGCTTATGACAGTTTCCTTGACCAGAAATTGGAGCATCAAAGGGTGTGTGTAGGGGGTATGGGCTGGTCAGGAGGGATGTTACGGTTTTACTTTCGTGCTTCTGTTTGGTTTAATTGGTTATCAGCCCAAACATGCACTTTCAATTTGCCACAAGTGTTGTCACTTGCTATTGTCTTACAACTAACCACTCCACACATCTCTATATATAAAAGCCTAATATGCAAATTGTCCCCTCAGGAGTTCAACCGGGAGACTGGGAGTTCGATTGTTCACTATGATGTGCACTGACCACCAGAGGGTGGTGCAGAATGAAAGAAGGCCCCAGCCAGTAGCTGGGGAAAGGAGGCCCCAGCAGGCAGCTGGCAGCTGACAGCCGGTGGAAGGAAGGCCCCGGCCAGCAGCCAAAAGGCAGGCCCCGGCCAGCAGCCAGAAGGCCCCCATCAGCCCTGATCACAGGCCAGGCTAGGGACCCTACCCGTGCACAAATTCCGTGCACCAGCCCTCTAGTGTATAATAATTACCTATTCCCTAAACATTATTAATGCATTTGATATTGCAACCTGACTCAGAAAAGTACAAAAGAGAAAAAAATTTTGAATATAGGTAATGGTTTGGGTTTATTTGGGGAACAAGAGTAGATTATGTTAATTTTTGAATGGATTTAGATCTATCATGAAGAATAAAGTCATAGCATTCCTTATTAAATGGTACACTTTTAACTTTGACAATCAAGTTATAGAAAGCAGCTAGCATGATACAATTTTAAAACAAAACCAAGTAAGCAAAGAACAACCCCAAACAGGCAACTCTGTTGTTGTTTTTTCCCACTCTGGATGAAAATATTGGTTTCAATGGACAGCATATCTTAGTGCCTTACATTGTAAACAGAAAATCCTGTAGAAATATTTTCCTTCTTCTGCATTAAAATATAAATATGTATCCCATTTACATAAATGATTTCACCATTAGTTCACATAGTAGACTACCATGTTAGATTAACAAAAAAAATACTAGTAGCTATATTAGTTTAAGGTACTATGTATATTTTCTTTTGATGGCTTTTATAGCATCAATTTCTTACTCAGTTTGCTCAGCAAAGGTACAGAAATCTTTAGCATCTCAATAAAGATAGTTATTGTTCTTCCAGGATCTAAAAAAATTTAGTGAGACCAAAGGAAGGAATAGGAATTCTATCTGATTTAAACTCCACTTCAAAGGTAAACCTACAGAAAGAAGAGTTTGTATGGCTTCTGTGGGTAGTGGGAAGTTATTCAACCTGATGCACCACCCCTTTTAAATAGCCTACAGATTATAACAATAGCGTACACATATAGCATTTTCTATCTGCCATGCTCTGTGCTAAGTATTATCTCATTACCTTCTTACCAAAACCGGTGAATTTGAGACTTTCATTCTACCCATTTTACAGGTGAGGCTACTGAGGCAAATGAAAGTGAAATAACCTACCAAAGGTCATATAGGTAGTAAATGGTGGGAGCAGGCCCATTGATTCTGAGTTAAAAGTGGGCTGTTACCCACTTTGCTCTCCTTCCTAGAGACACTTCCCGGTCTCCCTTGCATCTAGTTGTGACCATATGACACATTTCTGGCTACTGGAATCTAGGCAGAACTGATGTGTGCCACTACTCTCAAAAGAAATGGAAGTATGTTCACGTGACCATTTCTCTTCCTGTTACCTGGGGTGTATATATGATGGTGAGAGCTAGAGCGGTCATCCTGGACCATGACATGAAAGTTTGCATACTGAGAAGAACATAGCAATAAGAATGGAGGAGCCTGAGTCCCTGGATGGCTGTGTGAGCAGAGATACACCAGCCCTGACTACGCTTAAACTGCCACATAAGTATTAAACACGCACATGTGAACACACACACACACACTCCAAAACACTTCTCTCTGATTTAA